GGCTCACACCTTGGATTTGTGGTCGCCTTTCCCACCAAGCCCCCCCAGCTCTGCCAAAAGGGCTCTGTTTCCTGACACCACCAGCTCACCTAACAAATCAAAACTTTGCAAGAGAACTGGCTCACACCTGGGAGAGAAAAGACATCAGGCGTTTGGTTTGTGGCTGTTCTTTTCACAGGTTTCCACACTGCCAGAAACAGATGCCCATATTTCCATGGATTGACACCTCTCACTTTTCTCCTTTAATTCATGGGCAGCAAAGTGCCAGGAAGAACAAGAATGAACTTGCCCTCAGCTGAGCAAAGGAAATCCGAAAATCTGCAGCTTTTGCTGTACAAGCTTGTAGCAACAAGTTGCTGGGTTTCCAGCTAGAGGAAGCTACTTATGGGAGCAGACATGTTGCTGCCAACTCTCAGTTCCTAAATATGATTCCTCTACTCTTGGGCTGGTCACATATTGTGGGGAAAGTTGAATTAAACCATTTTTAAGCCATGTCACCATTTAGAAATGCTGATGAACAGCGTCTGCAAGGCTGTCCATACGTATATGCGTAAGAAGGGAAGCAGACAGCAGGGAGGTAGGTGCTTACAACAGTCATTTGCTCTGGCAGCTGTCAACGTTAAACTGATAAAATTGCTGCTGTTGCACCATATTTGGGCACTAAACTTTTCCCCATGGAGTACATCCCTTGTACTCATCCAGCACAAGAATCTAGGAAACACCGAACTGACTCTTAGCATAAACAAGAGTTAAAGTTAAGCAAAATAAAAAATAATAAAAAAGGATCTGTCATTGACGCCATCTAAGTCTTACTTCCTACAAAGGCTGGAAGCAACTGCAGAATCATCCGGAAACTGGAACCTCCAAGTTCTCAGCCCCAACTTTGATGCTAGCCTATGGATGACTAGATGCTCCACCTCTTCTGCCTAGATTTTTCCATCCAAGGAAGGGGGATAATTAGCTGTGACTTGCTACACAGCAGTGGTGTGAGACTTAATTAGTCAGAACACTTTGAAGGTATGGTACCTAATTAATATCTGAAGTGGCTGCAGTGCTTATTATGAACAATGGCATAGCTCACAGCTGATGATACAGCTCAGCTCATCAGTATTTTTCATTCTCAAAAGTGCTGTGCAAACATACAGCCAATATTCCACATCAGAAATCTCCACAGCGGTGGGTGGTTATCAAGCTCATTTCATGGATGGAAAAACTGAGGCAAGGTCTGATGGAGCCCAGCAACAATCACAAACCACAGAGCACGGGAACTTTACAAGGCAGTCGCATGGGAACTCCTCGCTTGCTGCCGGGATGGAACAGGGCGGCAGTTTGACAGTCCCATCACACTGCCCTGCGATATTTGCGGTCTGTTCGGAAATGCTCAGCTACACGCGCTCTGTGCAGGTGTTGAATTTAGCAGGCTCCTGCAAGCAACCATAGGGTTGGAGCTTTAAGGGTAGGAAAGAGCAAGCAGGATCTCTTAACTAACCCTCCAATGCACAGGCGTGCACACACACAAATAACGTGGCACATAATGAGCGAGCCAGGACAGCCCTGGGACCTACACATCAGCACAGCCTGATGCCATATGTTCCCAGCTGAGCAGCAGGAACACAGCCCTCCCTCTGCATACACCGGGAGGTTGCATCTCCCTTGTTTTAGCAGCAGCCACCACCACCAGGTTGCCCCCATCCTTGCATCACGGAGGAGATGAGCACGCAGTAGTTTCAGCACGGAGGCCTCTGCGCCTTCCCTTAACCCAGGTACCCTGAGCTCCACAAGGGTAACCACCCCCAGGACTCACACAAGCAAGGGGCATCTCCATTTCACCGGCTGTACGATGAACAATTACCAACCAGTTTTGCAAAGTGCTCTCAGCAATAAGGAGCGGAAGGGTTGGTTTTAACCCTCATCTTCACTTTCCTTCTGTCCTGCCTTCAGGAGACCTGGGAATACATTTTAGCCACATTGCAAAATGCAGAGAGCATATAAAAATTCTCCAGAGCCTTACATAAGCACTGCAGCTGAGATCCATAGGCTCTCTTCTATCGCTGTGTCATGGAGCTGGGTTCCCATGGGTCTCATCTCCGACAGCTTCCTGGAGAGCAGAAGCAGCAAGCTGAAAAGGAAAGAGATTTGGTTTTTTCCTCCTGTCTGCTAAGGATTGACTCCATTTTGAGCTCCTTAGTATCCCGAGAACTGTAGAGAGATATGCGTTGACATTATTTTGAGCTGTATTTCTGGCAATATCCAAAGGACGAGAAACAAAACACACTGCTGCGCCAAAGCCAAACAGAGCTAGTTTTGGAGCTCAGCCATTTCTGAGACAGTGGGACATACTGATATTAGCAACTTAATAGTACAGACTTGAGAAACGGGTAAGAAGTCGTCATACTGTTACATACACATTGGGCCGGTTTGCAGGTCTGTACACAGCCAGCATATAAAGGCTGGAAAAAAGATAAAAAAACCAACCCATAATCTTTCACCAAGCAGCAGCCCAAAAGGATCCCCCAGGCAGATACTGATCTATCACTTGGTGCATAAGGAACATAAAACAGGGTCCCTTTGAAGGGGAAGGTCATTCTAGATGGGTGCAAGGAACATCTTCTGTGTGTAACTCTTCGGGTTGTCTAGCTTCCTGGCAACTCTTCATAAAATTTGTCACAGGCAAGCGTGTAAATCCCCAGAGGAAAACAAAAGGAAAGAAGCCCTGTTCAAGCCTTTAAACTTGAGCACTGAACAGATAAGTCCAGGCCTATTTTACAAATATTTCAAAGTTCAAAGAAAACAGCAACTAATATTGACACAACCCAGCAGAAACATCCCAAGGGGCAAGGCTGCGGGTTGCACGATACTCCAGTGCCACCAGCCGCGCAACATAGGAAACAGCAGCTAAGCAGAATGGAAGGGAAGGCTGAGCTGCCTGGTAGCACTGGGTGAGCCAACGCCCCTCGAGTCTGTGGAGCTTATCCATCGATTACAATGAATGTCAGATGAGGTGCTTAATTACCAAAGTGATAAATGTTATATATTAATAAGCTGAGAGAGAGATCAGGCACTTGGGTGAACCCTCAGGAAAATACATGACAAATTGGGTCTCCCTTCACTCCCACAGGGACAGCAGAATCAGCCCAGACTTAAAAGTCATCTTTAAGAAAATGAACAACCACCACGACCAGGGACATTTGTTTGCAGCTGAGAAGGCAGAGGAACTCTCAGGACTCCTGGTGGAGGTCCTAAATATTTTCTACATAGCAGAACACTGTGGAAGTTGTATGTATGTGAAGAGCCTCAAAGCCTTTCTGAGACCTTACTCAGTCCCTTTAAACACATGTACATACACACGTACTTTTTCCACAGTTATCCACGGGTCCCAGCAGCTTTTCATCCAGAAGGCTGTGGCCAGGCAGCCAGAACACTCACACACTTCACTCTTTCATCTAAGCTCACTGAGGGGGAAATCAAAGCTTTCTTCCCCCTCTCCGCTCCACTATCACTGCATGAGTAAATAACAAGGAAGTCCCAGTAAGGACATAAAATAAAATGCAATCAAAGTTTCTCTCTGCCCATGCACACAGGCTCACCCGAGCACGAGAACTGCGAGACAAGAGCACCTCCTGGAGGAGATGTCCTCCTCTCCCCTCCTTCTCTAGTACCAAGCTCTCACGACACAACGCTTACAGCGCACACCTGGGCTTCCCTCTCACTGCGCAGTAAGGGAGCGGTGCAACCTAGAAATTCATAAGAGTCATCAGTTATCTATTTCTGTGTGTCATAGTCTACTCAAGTGAGGTTTTTAATCTGTTTAGACAACGCTGTAGAAGTGTGACTCCTACTTACTATCAAAGCTAACAAAACCACTACGTATGAACTAAAGCTAGTAGGGATAGTAAAACAAGAAAAATGAAGTTAAAATAAGATGTTTTGCTCAAGTTTTCTTTCTTCCTAGATTTTACTGAAAAAAAAAAAAGCCAACCCAGTGAAAGTCTTAATACTTTAATCTTAGCCAAACATAGCTTCGAGCTTACCAAAGCTCACTTGAGCCTGTAAAGACAACAAAATTATAAACTCAGTCACCTGGGACTGCTTAGGTATTGCAAACAATGCGAACAAAAAGAAAGATTAAAAAACCCAACACAGTATTTACGATAAAATTAAGTTATTTTTATTACAAGGATATCATTACAAAAAGCACTCACTCTGTTATACACTTAAATGAATACACGCCCTACCACAGAAACCCCTCACTCCACAGAAAGACCACACCGCTGCCATCCTCCAAAGAACGCTCCAGGCAAGCCCCACCTGCAAAGCTGCATTGATCACAGCCTGCCCAATATCAGAATCACAGAATGGTTTGGGCTGGAAGGGACCTTTCAAGGTCACCTAGTCCAAGCCCCTGCCATGGGCAGGGACATCTTCAACCAGATCAGGTTGCTCAGAGCCCCCTCCAGCCTGGCCTTGAATGTTTCCAGGGATGGGGCATCTCCCACCTCCCTGGGCAACGTGTTGACCAGACACCCTCTGCAACAATCCAGCTCACTCGTTCAGAGCTGGTAAAGCAGGTTATATGTTTTCCAAGAGCATTTTATACAAAAAAACGTGACAAGAAGCAGAACAATCAGTGCATCGCCCGGGTCAACAGAAATGGCCCCTTCCCCTGAAAAGCTCCAGGGACAAAAAAAAGGCACGTTCTCTCTTCTTCCAGGGAATACTCTTGGTACAAATAGGAAGCACAGATGTAGCAACTTTGATTTCAAGAGCACTTTCTGGGAACAGCGATCTCGGAAGCCACAAGGTAGGTTAAAACTGCCACCATATTTGCAGATGGTAAGAAAAAAAAAAAAAAAAAATCACACCGACATTACTTGCCTCAAACTCCCTAGGGAGGTCAAGGTCTAGTCCCAATAGGGATCTAGGAATTCCCAGGTCTGACTCTGTCAACAGCAAACACCTCCTTCCCTATAAATTCACGAATGCGAGAGGCCATTTGTCAGTCACTGCTCCTGTTCTGAAGCCTCGTGATTTGAGCCATTTGATTTAAAAAGCAAGAGACTTCTGTCCCAGCTGGTGCTCCCAAAGCAGCACACCAGCTCCATGGCACAGTCCTTCGTTAAGATCTGGGTTATCCTCTCCGCCATGTCCCCATTGATAGCAAGAGATCGGAAGTGATCAAAGTCATTCCTGCCCAGCTTCCGCAGGCGGCGCGCGGCTGCCCTGTAGCACTTCCATGGCTGAGGTTCGATCAGCAGGTACTTGCACAGAGAGGAGAGGAAGGACAGGAACTCCATCAGGCCACTATCCCCATGATTCAGGTGGATCCACATGGTCACAGACATGCAAAAACCAATGTCAAAGGTGGAGCGGCCAAAACGGCCCAGGTAAGAGCTCAGGAATGACTCCCTGGCACCGGAGTCCATGATGTCCAGATTGGCAAAGGATATGGAGGCAGGAAAGGGACTGCACTGCTGAGCCCTCTCAATCAACACCGGATCAATGTCACAGCACAGAAGGTTCAGATCCTTTCCAGCTGCAGGCTGGTCCAGGCTGCCTTCGCTCTCCTGAAGGCCAAGGAGATGCCTGTACAGAGCCACACTTAGCTCCTGCAGAAAGGAAAACAACAGGGGTTCACGGGGCCTGCGCTGCTCCGTTAACACATCACCAAGCACACAGGATCCCACTCTCAGCAGCAAGGTACAAGCGCCAACTCAGAGCTTTCTCTCAATGAGGTTCAGAACAATCAGCTCACCGACAATCTTCCTTTCTGTAGCAAAAAGCATCATGGAAAGTCAACCAGGGATTGGAACTAAACCTGTATCATCATGCCACATCTGGGGTTTTGCTCCAAAAACTATGGGAAAGGTGAGTTTTAGTAACGGGAATCTTGCTGGATATCTGCATTCAACGTGGGGGTGTGGGCTTCACTGGCTTCCCTAGGTGAGCCTCCAAGTTTCCTAGTGACACTTAGAGCTATTTATAATGCCTGATTTAGAGGAATACTTTAGCAGCAGCAGAAGAAATGTAAGATACATTCCCTGACCGTTAGATTGCAGCATAAGCCAGTTAACATGAGAGCTTTCCTTCGATTTCCTTTCACGGAGCGCGCCGCTAAGCGGAAAGCATATTAATCTTTCATTAAAGGAGATCCGATGAAGTTCCTGAATGACATCGGCTATGAGCGCCATAGCCCACACAAGCGGGCAGACAGTGTCCTCTAGTGGCGAAAGTCTCTGCCTCGCCAAAGAACTGGACCGAGAACATTTTTGCCTGACCTGTTTTACAAGTTCACCTGAAATAGGATCTAGAATTGTCCTTTAGATAATGCCTTAGGCAGCCTTTCAAACCTTCTGGCAGGGGGCTGGGGGAAGAGAAGCCATGGAAACAGCAGCACTCTTGTCCCCAGCCAGAATGCAATTTCATTCTGAATGAATAATTATTTCTAAGTCAATACATTGATAAAGTTTCCATCTGGGAAAAAAAAGAAATCTTTAAACATAGTTAAATTAAACATTGCACCAGTATGCATCAGAGCTGCACAGATACTTCTGAATTACAACACAGCAAAGCTGCACGTTGATGAAAAGCCACGAGAAAAAAGCAGAACTAGGTAAAGAAAGAGTGAACTTTCAAAATGGGAAATTCTACGAGATTCACCAGCTGTCACAAGATCTTCAAGAGCACCTGACCAGGATTTTAGTTTCAAGTTCTGTCTCACAGACAAATGCTGTGATGCTACACAATACACAACAGATTACGGTTTCTAGCCTCAGGCTCGTCCAGGTCCCCTGCTCTTAGAGCAGTCCTATAGCGGCTCTGTGGTACTCGGGACACTCGGCAACCCAGGGCGCTGCAGGCTTGGGCCTCAGCGGGAGAGAGGAGAGACCCACCAACACAGCCTCCTAAACCACCTCTCAGCAACACAACCAGCTCCACCCCACCCCTGCCATCACACTCTTCTCGTGAGGCCTGCGGAGGGGGGTCCCACACACGGATGATCTCCTGACCCCCACCAGTCTCATGCTGCACCCAAGTCCTGCTTTCCCACTGTGCCTTTTACACAGGCTCATCCCTGTCCCAGGCTGCTACCCCCGCCCCGGCCATTCCAGGCTGTTCCATTCCTCTCCAGCCCCCCAGGTCAGTGCTCCCCCCGGCCTCCCCCACTGCTCCCCAAGACTCCAGGCCACTGCCCCCACCCAGCCTTCTCACTCTTCCCCAGCATCCCACGGGAGCGTCTTCCCCAACCTTCCCAGTTTTCCCTCCAACGCCCCAGGTCACTGCCTGCCCCAGCCTCCCCAGTCTGCCCCAACGTGCCCAACACTCTACACCAGTGCAGTCCCACCTTTCCAGGCTGCCTCCCAACATCCCAAGCTCCCACCTCCCCCAGTCTCCTCCGTTTGCCTCACTATCTCCAGTCACTGCCTTTCCCAGTCCTCCCACTTTGCCCCACTGCCCCCCTCCCAGGCTCTCATCCACCCCCCTCAGTCTTCTCAGTCTGCCCTACCACCCTAGATCTCATCCCCAGTCTTTTCTGTATGCTGGACTGTCCTTCAATACCCCAGAAGAGTGCCTCCCCACTCTGCCCCAGTGCCCCCCAATACCGAGACCGGTGCCTCCCCCCAGCCTTTCTCACAGTCTGCCAAAACCCCAAACCAGCACCTCCCCTCAATCTTTCTCACAGCCCCCCAATACTCCACACCAGTGCCTCCCCCCCAGTCTTCCCCACACGCCAGACCACCACCCCAGCGTTTCTCCTCACCCCAGGCACCCCCAAGCCTGCAGCCCCGCGGCCTACCCCTCCCGCTGCCCGTCGAGGCGCCCTCTTACCCCCGAGTTGCACCCCACATCGAGCCCCAGCAGCGGGCGGGCCGCCGCGGGGAACAGGCTCCGCAAGAGCCCGCCAGGCAGGAGGCTGACTCGCCCCTCGGGCGGGTGGAAGCGGGAATAATTGGGGAAGTTGCCGTAGGGAGCAGCGCCAGGCTCCAAGGTGGGAGACCCCTCACTTATGGGCGCCGCCATTTTGCCCTCTGCCCCGCGTGCGCCGTGCGGGGGCCGGGCGGCAGCAGAAGCGTTCCGGGAGAGAAAGGTTCCGGGCGGGACGATCGCGCATGCGCCCACCTGCATTGGGGCGAGGCGGGGACCTGCGGCCTTGGCGGGCTGATAGGGACAGGGATGGGGACAAGGGACAACGCCGCCCTCCCGCTGCTGACAGACAGCAGCCTTTCCGGGTCCATTTGGGTGAAAACAAGAATTCTTGGAGTTTTTTGTGTAAAAACACCCTGTCTGGGCGCCGTCACAGCAGGGCAGGGCAAAGAGGGCCGTCTCCAACAACCCCGGCGTCACCTTTGCCCTTTGCCCTGACGTTGCCATGGCGACGCTGCGGCCTAGCGTGGGGATGCAGGCCTTGGGGGGGATCTTGGGGTCCCCCCTGCCCGGGGCACCTCGGCAGCAGGGCCCTGGAGGAGCCACCTCCCCCGAGACACAGCCGATGTCCAAAGACTGGTGTCAAATAAAGCCAGAAATGTTATCTGGGCTGTCAAAACCCACCCGAATCTGGGCAACCCAACCTGGGCTAAATAAGTGTTATTTAAATCACATTTAAACATGGGATTGCCCTGGGATTGCCAAGGCCTCCATAGGCAGGCAGCTAGCAGGAAGTTTTACAGCAGAAGAAAATGAAAACTCCCT